TTCAGCTAGTGGCCACGTGACCCTATCCCACTAGAGAATACGAAGGCTACATCGAATATCAAAAGATAGATTCAAGTGACCAGGTGATCATGTGTCACAAGAAACATACTAATGACAAGTGAGTGTCTTTGTCAAAATGAGTTGTGAATCAATTCCACAACTCCTAAGATGTTCCAAGAAGACTTGGTTTACAAAACTCATTTTCTTTATCACAATGAAAGGTTAATGATGATCTCATTAAGTCGTATTTCAATCTTCACTATGAAAAATTTGATCAAATCAAAAGGTTTCATCAACGACGAATAAAAGTTGTCGGTGAAATTGATTAAGTATCTGTCACCAAATCTATTCATGGATTGAAAAAGATTACATACATCACTTATGTATAATTCTTTTCCAAGTCTTTTGTTGTTTAACTACTAATAGATAAAGACACTTGTGAATCATCTTCCCATATAAATATGATTCACATATATCAAATGAATCAAGCTCATTTTCCTTCAAAAATTCCATCATTTTGAAGTTGGTATATGTACTTCTTATTTATATTGTCATGATGATTATGACATAGATAAGTTACAATCAAATATCATTTGATTATATTGTTATGATCAGAACTATTTATATTGTCATGATGATTATTTATATTGTTATGATCAGAACTATTAATTTAATGAAAGATTATAGATTTACTTCATAAATAACATTATGAGAAAATATTTCTTAACACAGAATGTATCGTTTCAGAACATGAATGTGAACATCCATTAAACGATAACTAAATCTAGATTTATTCATGAATTACAACTGTTACATGTCCCTATAAGGAATATTCATGAATTACAACTGTTACAACTATTATATATATATATATATATATATATATAATATATATATATATAATATATATATCTATATATATATCATATATATATGTGTGTGTGTGTGTGTGTGTTGTATGTGTGTGTGTGTTATGATCAGAACTATTAATTTAATGAAAGATTATAGATTTACTTCATAAATAACATTATGAGAAAATATTCCTTAACACAGAATGTATCATTTCAGAACATGAATATGAACATCCATTAAACGATAAGTAAATCTAGATTTATTCATGAATTACAACTGTTACATGTCCCTATACGGATATGTACAATACATCTATTGTTAAATAAAAAGACCAATAACAACAATTGTTATATCTTCAACACAAAATACCATTCGTTTGTAATCAGTTGATTATTTCTTCCATCATCAACACATAATATCAATTATGAGTTTCACCTGAAGTATAACATACTCAAGTGAATGATGGAAAAATAAATAGTTCTATCATATAGATGTATGAAGTCTTGTCCAAGTCAGACTTCTTCAGCTCGATGAGATGAGAGGAGCAATTCCTCCTTTAGTGTCCAGTTTCTTCCACAATAGAAACAACACTAATCATTTGGTCCTTTCTTGATTTCTGGGTTTATGTTGTATTTCCCTTAACTGAACTATAAGTCTATATGAGTGCACAATCTCTTAGACTTCATTTTATTTAATGCTTGAATAGACTTGAAACTATTTCTAATGTTCTGATTGAATATCTGCTTTACTTGATGAGACATCTGATATGTTTCATAATTATCCAAGACTTTCTGCAAGTCTTGGTTAATTTCTTCAGTATGATGTGAGACACATCATCATCATCACAATAATACTCATTCAAAAGTATCATGATTCAGACAAACTGGTTGCAGAGGTTATTCAGGTATGAGATCTTTCAGTATATATAATTTCTATTTATCTTAAAGGTAGAACCTCAAGATATTATACCGGCTATAGAAATTATAACCATCAAATGTAACTATCTCTTGAAACTCAACAAGAGAGAGATTTTGCAGGGCGTAAAATTATTAACAGTTATCAACAAAATTTAACAAAGTTTCATTTAGTATTTTCAATATTTAGTCTTTAAAAATTAAGATCTTATATTGTTTCTTAAAACATTAATTTATTAAAGTCTAGAATCCAAGTAACGAAACAAGTCAATGGTTAGGCGACCTTTATCCCATAAACTTAATCAAACTCGGTAGGTAGCGATTACCAATTGCATACGATATGTAACTCCTAGATTATGGGATCCTAAACAACTATTGTTTAGCTTGGAATGTTTATCCCATCTATGCTTCAAAACTCTTATGCTTAGTTGACCTTTATTACATAAGAAATTGATCAAATCATCCATTTAAAAAACATATGAGTTCTATTTCACAAATGGTTAGGTGACCTATATCCCATAAGCAAATACAAAAACACATTGACTATTTTTGACAACTCAAATGAATAAGGTGACTTTAAAATCCATATAAACTGCACAAAAATCTCAAGTGAATTTTAAATTGATTGCATAGATTTGAAGTTTTGTAAATAAGGGTTTATATATGCTTTAACAATTATAGTTTATAAAAAACATGGTCTCATGAATATTGCATGCATCCAACAATTCATGTACCCTTTTGTAAAATTCATATAACTTGTTACGAGGTTCTTTAGGTGCCAAATAAAATTTCATTTTAATTGTCATTAACCGTGATCAATTATAAACTAAAATCTGGTATTTTAAAGTTTAGTCGTAGATCGGTTTTAAGAACCGGTAATAGTCTTAATAAAACTATATTTTATACTGAAGACTTGGAGTTTTGCATGAGTTATAAAATCATTATTTTAAATCTCCTTTTAACAATAAAAAACTTATGACTTCATTAATTTATAGAATAAACTCATTTTATTTTATAAACTCAATTTTATGCATCTTATGATAAAAGTCATATTTTGATAAACCAAAATTTGAGTGATAATACTTATGTTTTAAATCTCATTTAGCATGCATAAAACATAATATCAACATGTTGCGTTATGTTTAAAACATCAATATCATATATTAAGTTTCGACGCAAAAAATAATCACTAGTTTTATTATTTGTCGTTATAACGCTATAAACCGATTTTAGTTTTTTTAATAAAAACTCCTTATTTATTATAAAGACATCGAGTTTATATAAAATTTAAAAATCTGTTAAACTATTTCAAATATTTTAAAGTTGAGTATTTATAAGTTTTACAATAAAACTATTTTCAATAAAAAATTGAGTTTTAACCGGTAAACCGGTAACCGGTAAAACGTTTTTATAAATATTCATTTATAAACATCTTATATTATCTTTTAAATATTTTTTACTCAAACTCCAACTGATATTATCTTATGGAAAAATATTTTTTGACATGTAAAAACCATTTTCATACATAAAACATAACATACATTTAACATAAAATAAACATCACAAGCATGCATTATAATGTATATAAACCAAGTCATGTCTAGTAATAATTTTTGTGAGCCATCACAAGAATTATTAAGTCTTTCTAAAATGACTTAAGAAACACTTCAAAAGGTCTTCAAGCTCCCACTTGCCAAGTCAACTCTTGCTTGCAAAAGGACTTCAAATCTTCATGTGTGAAAGTTGCAACACTTAAACCATTAAGACTATAATTAAGTCTAAAACCAAAAGTAAAAACTTATGGTTGGGATTATGATCTTAAATGATTAAGTCATCTTCAAGATAGTCATTTCTTCATCTTGTTACATTTAAAATAAATACAACTAGTCTAGCTAATTTATTACATCAAATCAACAAATGAAAAATCACCTATTTATCTATTACATCTTATTAATAAATAAATATCAACCAAACACAACATAAAGGTCCAAATGGCTTTTTTATACACAACAACATATCAAATATTATAACAGACAACTCTTTGTTTTTTAAGGCAACTTTTATACAATCAAAATGCATGAAAAATGGTTATATATAAAAATAAACAATTTTAACCAAGAAGTTGCCAAAGAAAACAAATATGGATTTTTCTTAACAAAAAGAAATTCATGCTTGTTTTCCAAAAACCAAAGATTATCAAACATAAAAAATCATTTTAACATATAAAAGATGCTCTAATACCACTGTTGGGTTTTGATTCGAAATAAAACTTTGTTTTTCACAAAAACGGACGAAAGACTTTTAGTTTATTTTTAGTTCATCTTACAATCTGATTTCAAAGGATAATATACATATTTTATTATAATGTGATGTCAAGCCCTAAACTAATATACATATCTGATTTCAAAGACAATATAAATATATGATTACAATCTGATTTACATCATCTACATCCATACTAAAACACTAACATATTGGAGAAATTTTAGTTTAATAATGTGACAAAGTAAAGCACTAACCGAGAGAGCAGTAATTAAAAGGGGTAAGGATCGAGAATGAGAAATCGGGTTCAAATCAAGTGATCAATCGCAATCTTGATGCTCACCCTTCGTCGAGTTTGATGAAGGATTAAAGGCTTCAAGCGTGTTCGTGATTTCAGACTTCATCGGAGGAGAGAAAAAATGGGGCTAGGGCTCGTTTCGCCATCTTCAGGACTGAGGAGTTGTGTTTACCTTCATAATTGATATATGGAAGAAAATAAGAAGGTTTACGGCTGATAATTGCAAAGGCGCAGCACCATCGCCACTCCAACCCACTACCCCCGTCGTCAGCAGTAGCAGCACCGCCGACGCCGCTTCTTTCTGATGTGAACAGTACCGACATCAGCCAAATGCTGTGTTGTCCTTCTCTTCCTCGCAGGTATCTCTATCGTTCATTGTTTCCCCAAATCAATTTCAGTCTCTCAACTAACGATTATCATCGAAGCTTCTCATGTTTTCTATTGTCGCCGAATAGCTCCAAGGGCACAACGCAACGTTGCAGGCAGAATTTGTAATACATTCCAAAAAATAAACAAAATGGGTAGAATAGAGCTAACAGTTAGAAGACGAAGAATGAAAGGTTTAGCCCCAAATAACAACCACACCTGAACGAATCGATAGCGATGGGTGAGTAGAGGGAGGACCGGTGAGACTGAATGGATGGGAGAGGCGGAGTGTGAAGCAGTCTGGATCAATGGCAAAGAACGGAGAAACAGTGGAGACGAAGAGGGTTGGGGAGACGGTGGAATTTGGAGACCCAGTAATGGAAGCTACTGGAACAGATATACCACAGATACAGAAACACGGTTAGATAAAGATGAAATACAGTGGAACAACAGAAACGATGACCAACACGTGTACAAGAAAAGCAAGTAATTCCATAAAATACCCGTATACCAAAACCTATCCCAAACTGCAATATAATCGAGGGAGCATTTATGCCAACCTCTTTTATATATATATATATATATATATATATTATATAATATATATATATATATATATATATATATATATAGTTATATTTTTTAAAACCCAAATTGAAGAGGGCCTTATATTTAAAATTAAGAATTAAGATATTTAATTACAATCTTTATAACAAATCTTCTTACCATTTCAATAACCTATATGTTTGAATGGAAATTTTCTCAAGATTACCCTTTGCCCTTGTCTTCTCCAAATTAAAAATGTAAGTTAGTGGACGTTCAAGTTGAGTTTTAACCTTTTATTTTGTCGTGTTATAAGATTTGATATTTCCAATTAAAAATCATATATATAGCAATTTAATTAGATTGACATTTTAGACATTAATACCCTTTATGAAAGGCACACGCCTTTAAAATCACACTTTTAAGTTTTAACCCTAAGAGTGAGTTAATTACGATACACTCATCATGAAGGACTAAAAACTGAAATATTTTACAAGACGGCGAGAAATTACATATTTCAGCATAGTCCAAGGACTATTATTTTAATTGTGCTAGTGTCAACGTTGGTTCTTCTTTTCGTCCATCGTTAAATTACAGCATATATTTCAGTATCTATAAACAAATTAACCTCGCTCTTTTACACGTATCTAATATGAACGCGTGAATGGAAGATTCGATGTAATATGCAAGAAACATCTTCGTTTATTCAGTGCAGGCGAGGCGAGATGATATATACATATTATTCACTAATAACAACTTCATCGAAATCAATTGAATTTCTTCGATCTCAAATTTCCCTTCACAGTTCACAAAAAATCGTAATCAGGGTTTCAACTTTTTGTGTAATCATCGATGGCTGTAGTATTTGAGGCTCCATTACAACTTGTATTGGGTGAATTACAGAAAGCATTATATGTTGTAGGGCAGATTATACAAACTCCCAGATTCAAAAGTCTTCTCAAACGCCTTGAAAAAACCCTAAAAAGCATCGAGCAGGTGTTTTATGAAAGCTGGAGATTAAGCAAGGTGTTGGATCATCCTGACAAAGAGACGATAAAGTTCATCTCTTATCTTCGGAATGCCATTGAGATCGTTGTCAAGTGCTCCAGCATCAATTGTCAGACCATGAGCAAAAAAGTTCTTCATTCAAATAAGCTGATGCGTTTGAACAACGAGCTCTTGAGGTTCTTCCAGATTGATGTGCAGGAGAAAACGATGAACACTAGTATGACGGATTCAATTGCGATTTCCGGATTGGAAGACAATTCAGTAGTTGCCTTTTCTGCAGATGGATATTCGAGTACGTGCAGTGTTTATGCTGGTCAACTACTCAATCTTCCATTGACAGATTCTTTCGCTAACCTAACAAGTATCAGATTCGAACATATTTCATTTTCTTCCTCTATTCAACCACTCTTCATATTGCCATTTCTTCAAAAACTTTCCTTTGTTATGTGTGAGATAGGTGATGCTTTGATGAATGGCGTCACTGAGTCTCCTCATATTCCATCAAATCTCATGGATCTGGAATTTGATTGTTGTTATGATTTGATGGAACTACCTTCAGGAGTATGTAATCTTGTTCATCTCCAGAATCTCAGCATCACCAATTGCCATGAGCTGGATGTTCTTCCTAAAAAGTTGGGGAATCTTTCCAATCTTGAGATCCTCAACCTCCATTGTTGCACAAAACTACAAGAAATACCAGAATCGATTGGAAGTCTTCATAATCTGAGCTTCCTTGATTTATCTGATTGTTTGAGTATAAGTCTATTACCAGATGAAATTGGGGAACTATGCAGCCTGAGAGTGGTTAAGATGAGTGGTGTTCATGGATTACAAGAGTTGCCAGATTCCATGAGCAAATTGTCACAGTTGGAAGAAGTGATATGTGATGAAGAGACATCGTATTTGTGGATGGATTTTGAAAGTGATCTCTATAATTTGAAGTTAAACGTCGTTGAAGATGACAGGTTTGAAAGCTTTATGAAAATCGTTCAGTAAGCTTTCTTGATCCTTTGGTATCATTCTATTATTTAACTATTAAGCATGTGGCTTAATATGTAAAGTGTAAACTGTAAATTGTTGGATTATTCTTTAAATATCTTTTCTGAGTCAGAAATTTTATTCTCATTTGTTTTCATATTATTACATAAATGTATGTCAATTTAAAAACTTAATAAAGAATCACTGTATATCTACAATCCTTTTTGTTATGAGTGTAGTGTTTTTAGAGATGCCATTTTGTTGGCTTAATCGGTAGTTTCGATTTTCGACATGATTTATCAAGTATCTATCTATACTCTCATAATTATATTATTTAAATACTAATTAGGTTGGGACACTAGTACAAGTTAGTATAATAGGTTTGATATTCATTGAGATACTAATATAGAACAATGGAGTTAATTAAAGGCTTGATTCTTTATATATAATTATATATTGCAGAATGGTTTGTAATTTGTATTATATTTAACTTTAAATTTTAAGTAACAAGTCTACATGGTAGTGATCATATATGCATACCGTTTTTCACCAACAATTTTACATTTTAATCATTATTTTTGGATTATATCAAGATATTTAGTTTCTATACTGTAGAGGGCCTTATTATGTTCTATGGAAGGGGGGATCTTGAAGCCTAAGAACGTCATCTATTTTATTTTTGTATGTCATTTGTATTGCGTTTCGATGATTTAGGTGTCATGTGTGGATAAATCACTTTGATTCCAACATTCCCATTTTTGTTTGAAACTTTTCATATATATTGAAACTTTTATGCTAAGATTACTTTTGAATCCTTTGTTTATATCAAATTGTGTGTTTACTTCCATATTTAATTGGGATAAACATTAGATTATTAATAAACCTGGTCAATTTGTTTGTTTTCTAAGAGAGGTTCACTTAGATTTAGAACTTCAATATAATTCTAAATTTTAGTATTGAAACAAATAATGGTATTGTTTTTGTCTATGATTCCATTACAATTACAGACTCATATAATATGGTCTAAACATTCTGAACGGCATGAATTGTCGGCAGTATTGAAATTTCCATCAACATTAATGTGGAATGACCATTAAATTCTAAATTGCTAGAATTTAGAGTAGCATATTAGGTGTAATTAACGAACAACATTTTGTAAAATTACATAAATGGAAGAGTTACCAGCTTGATAACTAGCGATGATACAATTTATTCTTGAAGAAATTATTGCATCATATTTTTAAATGATCATAAGTTGAACCATAGGTAAGAACGCACCCAATGTTGAAAAGTTTTGTTTTTATTCTGAATTTTCTTAATTTTATTTCATGTTGGTGGTTACAATCACACAATACAATCATCCTTATTTTCTTTGTATGTACTAGTTACATTCATACCAATGTTTGAATATATTGGCATATATTGTTAACTCTGAATCCCTATAGATTTTATCTCAACTAATGTCATTACAATTCATTTGCAGTACAAGAATGTCCTTTTCTTTATATCATTTGTTGGTTTAGCTTGACTACCAACATAAAGGGTAGGTGCAAAGTTTCGTAAGTACATCACTGGTCAAACTTATGATAAATGGACACTAGACAAAGCACTTTAGGCCAATTTCTACAACTTACTTTTTGATAACCGGCAAATATTATTAAGGTCCACCGCCTAGCAAGATACTAGACGGGGCCATGAAAAGCAGAACAAAGAAGGAATACAACGAAAACTGAAAATTACAAACATTTCATTGGGCATATGCACCATTCAGTCCACTTATATAGACAATTAGATCTCCTATGCTTAATCCAAGTAAACACAAGAGATTTTATGCTGTCCATGATCTTAAAGTGAGGGGTCCTTATGTTCTTAAACACCCCATCACACCTTGATTTCCAAAGTAGCCATAACACACCATAGCACACACTAATTAGATTGTTTCTCCTTCTTTGACATCTTCCCCAGTTTTTAAGGAAACCGATAAGTTCTCCAATGGTATGAAATTGTGGAGTTGGGATGTCACACCATCTAAAGACTCACTCCCATACAATGACCGTCGTAGGACAGCGGATCAGAATGTGTCCAATATCTTCATCCTCAAGTAGGCATTGTGAACATGCAACGTTTGTAATTGGCACTCCTCTTTTTGATAACGCCATATTGGTTGGAAGACGTTCCAGATTAGCTTTCCAAATAAAGGTAGCAACCTTTATTGGAACATCATGAATCCATGGGATAACTACTTCATTATTCGCCGGTTCAGTATTATCAATTATTCATCTGAGAGTATCTACATGGTAGATACCATCGTTCGATTTAGGGCATTTCCATGTATCGGTTCCAGTGGTTGGTTGGAAATTTCCAATGACAGTAATCAAACCGTGAAGGCTGTGAATTTCTTCAGTAGAAGACAGGATCGTTTTCCAATCCCACATCTGCCCAGTCAAGAGTAACATTTGGCTAACCTTACAAGTTTTTCGTCTCTCCAGTTGATATAATTTTGGGAACCTCGTTTTAAAGGGTTCACCATCACACCACCCATCCAACCAAAAAAGAGTATCCATTCCATTCTTCACCTGTTTCTTTAATATATCTTGAAAGTTGATTCCAAACCTCTTTAAATCATTCATTGCCTCCGCAATATTCCTCCAAACGCCCGGTAAAGTTTTCTTGGCTAAGTACTCAGCAGGCTTATTCTTTAAATTATGAAGACCCATAATTGTTCGACACCATAAAGCTGATTGATTTGTTTTTAAAGCCCACCACCATTTAGCAATCAATGATAAGTTAAAGGCCCTAAGAGAGCCTAAACCTAGTCCCTCTTTATCCTTTGGCGCCACGACTTTATCCCATGGTACCCACGTTATCTTATACTTGTTATCGCTCCCTCCCCATAAGAACTGTCTACGAATTTTTTCGAGAACATTTATGACTCCCATCGGTGCCACGAATAAAGAGAAAAAATAGGATGGTAGGCTGCCAAGAACCGTTTTAGCCAGAGTTAGTCTTCCTCCCAAGGATAGTGATTTTGCTTTCCATGGAGACAGTTTCGCATAAATCTATCAATTATGGGCTTCCAATACTTCATCAACTTCATGTTTGCACCCACAAGTACCCCAAGGTAATTGAATGGCAAGGAGGTTGGTTGACATCCAAGTGGCACAGCCCAACGGTAACATCTGCCATATCAACTCCAATACCAAACACCCTAGATTTGTTGAAAGTAACTTTCAATACAGAGGCCACCTGGAAGCATCATAACACCCATTGATAGCTTACTTTATTTCCTTATTTTTATTAGTTTATTTTAGATTTTTAGATCTTTTTATCATTATTACATTGTATTTTATTTATTTTTCTTTAGTATGGATCGTACCGGGTGTTTTTTATGTTGCATGAGAAATTTTGCAGGGTTTTGGAGCTTATCGCTATTGTGGATTAGAGTGAAGACGGACTTGTGGGCTCTCGAGGCGCTATTGGGCTTGGCGGATCCACCAAAGAAGATTTGGGCTTAAAAAGATAAAGGCTTGGATGAAGTGGGCTTGTGAAGATGGATCATGGATAATTAATTTTGGGTTTGGAGCATCCACATTTGAAGCTAAAAGATGATTGGTTGATTTGAATCATATGGATATGGAGGGGACCAAAGGAATCTTTGGTAGTGGAAGGGTGGAGTGGTGGAATGAAGGACCAATAGTATTACAGCAACATTTGCGCGGGTGGAATTTTCGTCGCGCGGGTACCCGCGCAACTGCCCAGTTTGGGCATTTTGGTCATTTGGCTTGCCATTACCTTGGGGGATCAGACCTAGCAGCCATAACTTCGATTTTACACCATTGGAGACCTGGAGGAGGCGATTTTGGAAGCTCAAGACTCATTTCTCTTCATCTTTCCAAGATTTTTGGTAGTTTCTTTATGCAATTAGACTTTTGTGATTGTTGTTCTATTGCCATGAGTGGCTAAACTCTTTATATTGGTTAACTTTGGTTAAAACCTTTAAATGTTTGTGGGTTTTTGAAGGATTCATGCTAGATTATCAATTATCTTATGTTTATGGTTCTAGATCATATTTCTTATGCTTGTTTAATGCTTTGATCATGAGCTTGGCACTTGAATGAGCTATTGTTAGTTTATTTCTTTGGTTTTGCATTGAATCATTAAATTAACTTAGAACAAGGGCTTTATGATGGTAAAAATCATCTCTAGTTTATGAATCATAGCTCCTTTATGGATGTGTAAGCATTGACATCCTCTAGGAATTGGGGATTCCTTCTCTCTTAAGGCTAATTAACTTATTGGGTTCAATTGCTTCAATTAAACCCTTGATCTTGATTAAGAAGATGTGTTGTGGGCTTCCCCAACCTCCATACTACCTAAGAGGAATCTTGGCATATCATGCTTCATGATTGCTATAACCAATTTGGGATGAATGATAAGCTTCATGTTGGATCCTAATGATAAGCACACAAATGTTCATTGTGTTGAATTGCCTTGGTTAACCAATTGTTCCCAACATTTGAGCATCTCACTATCTTGCTTAATTGCAAGTCTTTAGTTATTCATTTCTTTTTAGTTTTCAAGCAATCATAACACCCCCCATTTTAGTTTAATTGTAGTTAGTTAGTTTATTTACAATAGTTCTTTTAGATTGCATTGGTGATTGAATACAACCATTTCCCCGAGGATCGATACCCCTTTTTACCATTATATTACGTTTTATTTGCAAACAAAGGGTGTAATTTGCTTGGTGGACTTGACATCCCAACAAGTTTTGGCGCCGTTGCCCGGGGATCGAACCCGGGTCACCCGCGTGACAGGCGGGAATACTTACCACTATACTACAATCCACCCAATCCCCCTCAAGAGTTGACACTTCGACAAATGATGGAGACGGATGTTACTCACACACCTCTTGGTATTGTTTATCCCGCAAACCGCCGAGGGATTGAATTGAAGTCAAGTTTCATACATCAACTCACCAAGTTCCATGGTTTGGATAGAGAAGATCCTCAAAGGCA